CTCGCATATCTTACATTTTTTTTTTCTCCTTTCAGAATTATTAAAACGCACTTTATCCATAATATTTTACAATAGATCCTTAAAATTATTCGACAAAGCACTTCCTCCCGTTACATTTACATTCGTTTCCATTCGCATTCTCGTTTAAAAAAAAAAAGAAAAACAAGCATCGAAAATTTTTTGGCGATTCGTCGCTAAACTGAACGCATCCATTAATAAATAAATAAATACCCGACCGAGATGAAATCGACGAGAATCCAACAGAACCACCCGATACCTAACTACCTAACGAACCAAACGAGGCGCAATAGAACACGAACAAAATGCTTAATCGAACGGAACACCGATTCCGTTCGAGCAAAGAGTGATCGCCATTCGCCATACGGGGCGATGAACCGAGCTTTCTCAAATTAAATCTCTTCGATGCGAGACGATTGACTCGAGTATTTTTTACCTCCTATCCTATGTAAAAAAAATTAAAAAAATAAAAAAATAAAAAAGAGAACGAGAATGACAAAGTCAAGTACGACAATCATCGTCGATCGCAGTTGCCATTGTTTCTCGATTTCCGTTGATCGATAAAAATATAAATAAATAAGCGATCAAAGGCTCAACGTGGTTCTCTTGGTTCTTGCTCTCGACTTTGTTTCTAACGGGATAGTCCTTCAGGGTGTAAACGGCAATTTTCGATGACGTTCGACCGATTACAACCGATCCCTTTAATACTGTTTGGTATAGCGTCGGTGCATAGATATAAGGAACGCACACAGTTTCACAATTTCATCGATGAAATACAACAAAAACGCGCGGGGATTGTAAGAAGTGTAAAAATTGGAAAGTAACAGATGTGATTAGAGATGGAACTCGTTATAGTAATCTCTGCTCATTGAATTAGGACCGTCTTATAATATTTTCGATTATATTTTTCATTTTTCCAATAAAAATAAATCGAAGGTGGAACGAACTTTGGATAGTAAAAAATTTATTAATCGTTAGAACGTTTTATATATATACACAACACGTTGATACTTATCTTTTCTTTTCTTTTTATTACAATTTTTTTTTTTTAATTTAACAAAATTTTTAATACACGCAATGAAATACTTTTTTTTTTTTTTCTTAAACATCGATCAGAAAGAAAAGGAAAAAGAACTCGTTCTTTTTTTTCTCTTTTTTTTTTTTTATTTAAAGTTTGCGCAACTTGCTTGAAATTACTTTTCGATTCACTCGACGGATGCAAATGTTTGAAAATGTTTCGAAGTGATTGGAAGATCGACGTATATTTATAGCACCCTAAGAAGAAGTTATCTTTGGGATAATTAACGATGGGGTAAGGAGAGGTTCGATGCGTTAGAGAGGAGGTAGGGTAGTGATAAATTAAATTTCTATTCGTGTACATTAAACGGCCTACGCCTACGTGTACAATTTGAGCGGCCAAAGACAATTTGTCACTTGTTGTTGTTAGAAAATTGTTGCATATGGTCCTAATTCGATGGCCAGGGACGTAGGTTTTTTTGTAGTCGTTTCAAGTTAATAACGATAATATTTCTGAACTTTTTTTTTTTTTCTTCTTTTTTTGGTTTAGCACGAGAACGTAGAGTGAGAAAAATATTTATCTTTCTCGTACTATATATCACCAACGATAATACAACGGTGTTTTGCAACACGTTTCGAGAACCAGCCTCGACGATTAACGCGAAAACAATGAAAAAAGTTCCTGTAGACGCGTGAATCTTATTTTTATTGACCTTGTTCTCTCGAGCCGACGGCCATTAAAAAAAAAAAAAAAATTAAAATTACTACAATTTTATTTTGTCGAGAGAAATTCGCGTAGATATTCACGTATACGACGAACGAAATATTTAAAAAAAAAAAAAAAAAAAAAACACGGAGAAAAGAAATTATCGACGAGAATCGTTGTTTAATATTTTTTTAAAATGTTACTAAATTACGCAGTCTCGATGGTATGGTGTAATGACGTTGTAACACGACAACCGCAGACTTGTATTTAGGCCAAAAGTGGCCACTTCAACCGCTACTTAGACGAGTAAGCAGTTGCACATTATTGGTATACAAAAACGATTATGACTCGGAAGGAAAAGGGTCAAACACAGCGTACATATTATTATATACGTATTTAAAAGAACTTTTCTCATGAGTTTTCGTGTTCCCCGTCCGCTCATGTTCAGAATTTATAACAGTTCTCTCTATGGTTAACGAAACACAACTCCTATATATAGAACAGGAATAGGAAAGATTCTTACTTGTTAATTTATAAAAAACATTATTTTTTTTTTGTTTCTTTTTTTGGTTTTTTTTTTTTTTTTTTTTTTTTT